TCCTTGGAGTCATCCAGGGGAGTTTCAGTGTTTGAATTATCTGAGGTTGGTTTTTTTCTGTGTTTGCTGACAGGGGCTTGGAATCCTTCAAGTAGATTTGGCATTCTGCAGTAGTGCCTATATAAGAGTCATAGAATCATAGAAATTAAGGGCTGGAAGGGACCTTGAAAGATCATGGAGTCCAGCCCCCCTGCTCTGAGCAGGAATACTGCTGAGATCAAGTGGTCCCGGCAAGGTGTCTGTCCAGTCGCCTGTTGAAGACCTCCAAGATTGAGGTTTGCACCACCTCCTTGAGAAGCCTATTCCAGATTCTGGAATAAAGGAAGTTCTTTCTTACATCTAACCTGAAACCATCCTTTAATAGTTTATGGCGATTGTTCCTTGTCCTCCCGTGGGGCACCCTAGTGAACAGCTTTTCTCCCAGCTCCCAATATTCACCTCTTACATACTTATAGTCAGCCATCAAATCCCTCCTCAGTCTTCTCTTTCCCAGGCTGAACAGTCCCAGATCCCTTAGTCTTTCCTCACGAGGTTTGTCCTCCAGGCCCTTAATCATTCTTGTGGCCCTTCTCTGGACCCTTTCAATAGTTTCCATGTCTTTTTTGAAGTGCGGTGCCCAGAACTTGATACTGTACTCAAGCTGGGGTCTCACCAACACCAAGTAGAGAGGAAGTATGTCTTCCTTAGCCCTACTCATGGCACATCAGCTAATGCATCCCAGCATGCTACTAGCTCTGTTGACTGCAGCATTGTACTAGCAGCTCATGTTCATTCTGTGATCAACCATAACCCCAATGTCCCTTTCAGCCATTGTGCTAGCCATGTCATCTCCTCCTAATCTATATTCAGTTTGCTGGTTACTTCTCCCCCCTGATGAGCACTCTGCATTTATCCGTACTGAACTGCATCCAGTTCCGTGCTGCCCACCTTTCCAGCTTCTCCAGGTCCACTTCAATCCACATCCCCATAACTTAGTATCATCCACAGAATTGTCCAGTGTGTTTTCCACATCCTCATCTAAATCATTGTTAAAGATGTTGAACAGCACGGGGCCAAGAACCAAACCCTGCAGGACACCACTGGACACCTTCCTCCAAGACCATACAGACCTGTCCACTAACACTCTCTGGGTTTGACCCCTTAACCAGTTCACAACCCACCTGACTGTGGACTCTGCCGATCCACAATTCCCTAGTTGTTTTTTTTTATAAGAGCATCATGGAACACCATATCAAAGGCCTTTTTAAAATCCAAGTACAGTAGAATCCCTGTTATCTGGCTCAAAGTGCTGGTTACCTGAGGCACAGGATTTCCGGCTGGACACTGAGCAGTGACAGCACAGAGTGGTGAGTGGCAGTGGCGGCCACCACATGTGAGCTTCCCCTCTACTCCCTTCTCCTTCCCCTACCTCCTCCTCCGAGCAGCAGGAGGTCAAGCAGCGCAATGCTGTGTGCATCCTGCCACTTTCAGCAGCACAGCAGGAGGCAAAACAGTGTGGCACAGCACCAAAATTCCAGTTAATAAGATATTCCAGTTGGTGAAGTACCAGATAACAGATTTTACTGTATATGACATGAACCACGTCTCCCACGTCTAAGCGGTGCATTGCTTGATCATAGAAGGAGACGAGGTTGGTTAGACACTACCTGCCTACAATGAAACCAGAATATTTCCAAAGTTTATGTAGACATACAAAGTGATACTGAAGCTTTATTCATTTCTTTTAAAGACTTTTACATTGGTGTGGCCTCCAAGCTCTAGTTCCTCAGCTGTAGCACAAGGTAACATTTAGTCTAAATTAAATAAATCAAGAAAGCCACAGTAGAACAAAGGTGATGAGAGAGAGTGCCTTGCAAAGTCTGTTCCTTTTTAACAGTCTGTTTTACTGCAGACAGTTGCAGCATCTCTGGCATGCCTTGTGTTTTCATAGAGATGGAAAAGCCTTATCCTACCATCAAGTCCATGATCCAAGTGGGACAAACTGTTGATCAAACCTGAATATCTATAACTGAAGCCTGAAGTAGCTTTGTTACTTAAAATTGCCAATATCTCAAATTAAGAGCGAGACCTTAAAAAGGAGATAAGGCAAAATGCTGTGTTTATTTGTTACATGAAGCAGATGTATAAGTTTGGACACACCAGTCATACAAACAGACATACACAAGCAAACATACAGACAAAACGACTCCAGTAAGATGTTATAGTTACCAGCAGATGTTTCTCAATATTAGCACTGGATGGCTGGGTCTAGGCTTATTGAGGATATGAGCAGGGGTATACAGGCATGCATGCCCGTGCTCCATGAGGTTACAGAGAGTGGATTCCCCATCTTGGCTTGTCTGCATCTCACTTTTATAGGGATTTCAAGTCTTTGTTCAGCATTGCGGGTTTTCCGTGCTCGGTTTTTAATTAGAAGTTGTTTCTTCTGGTTATCTCAACTTGAGGTTATTCTAGTAAAGTTGGTTATCTCCGCCTTGAAGCATTATGTAGTCAGTATCCCTTCTTTAAAGCATTGTGTAGTCGGTATCTTTGCCTTTAAAGCATTGTGTAGTTCAAATGGCAGGATATGCAAAGTTCCTTCTTACTATCTTCTTCGCACCTGATCACATACGAGTTCTTCAGCCATCCATTAATTAGTCTAATTAGTTTACTGTCTGGTAAGTTATACATTGGCACCTTGTTGCTTATACAATCAATTAAATCTTCTGTTTTTATGAAATAGTTACCATTATTTCACCATTCACCCTCTCACACAGACGCTCACATACACAGGGCATACAAAGTTCATCTATTCATGTCAAGCAGGAAACAAGCACAAAATGGAGTTTTAGTTGTTCATACAAACATCGAAGTTGATCAATTCAATGCTATTATCATTTAAACATAATAACTAATATGCAGAAATTCATACTACACCTTAGTGGCAGTTATTCCTATTATTCTAGTTTTTGACAAGTTCTTTTTTCAAGGGAGGCCTAAAGCTTTAAAGGAAAAATGAGAATTTTCTGGCTTAAACTGTTTCTTGAGAACCAGTCAATAAATTATCTTCCAGCAGTTTATAGTTACATCTTGTTCCCTAACTAGGGGATCAGGTTTTGAAGAAGGAAGGGAAAAAAGAAAGAAAAGGGAGGAACCTGAGAGGAAATGTTGAATGTCAGACTTTTTGTTAAAACTGTCTAAGTACACTTAAGCGTGAAGGAGTTCATGTATGCCTCAAAATAAGTGGGTTAGCACCATTCACCTCAAAATGCAGCTTCCGATTGACTCAATTAAAAAGTGCTTTTGTCAGCTGGCAGCAGTGTTAAGAAAGAACAGGAAATAATGTGCTGAATGCCATTCTAATCATTTGGCTCCCTGTATTTGAGGTTGTGTTATCTGTGAAACAGAGGGGCAGAGAGCATTTTTGTGAACAGGGCTATCTTTGTATATGGAACCTACAAAACCAGATTCTAGTGGGTGCAGCTGTGCTGTAAGCACTGAAACTGTAGGCACATTGTATAGTAAGGAAAAGCAAAATAAATTAGTGTTATTTGAGAATTCTGGCTTAATGCAACCTTAGCATTGCCTTCAAAGTCTCAAGCTCAGCTTTATTTATTGATGTACTCTCATCTTTTGATTTTTGGGGGGCGGTGATAGCATATTGGGGAGTGTGAGAGAGAGAAGGCCTGAGTTGGCAGACTTGGCAACAAAGAATGAATGATGTAGGTTTATATGGGCACATCAACATTTCATTAATGGGAAAAGCATACTGTAACTAAAATTTGTACTAGTTTGCATAAAGACATTTTTAATTTGAGATTTTAATAGTAGTTGCCTTTGTCTGACTTTCTGATCTTTAGACCTGGGTGGTCTTCTCTCCTGTATACTCTTGCAAATTTTGAGTATTTATTTCCTTCATGCAGAAACACAAAGCTAGACTTTTAAGTCTTAAACAGAAATTAAGAAAGCGTTTCACTTTAATAGAGCTTTTAAGATGTCCATTTGTATTTTTAATGTGACGTTTAGATGCTGCTGGCGAAGCTGATTAAGCCACCATTCTTCAGTAAGTCCACCTGCCTTATTTCTAGCTTGTAAAAATGAGCTAGTGTGTTTGCATATCAGATCAATAGAATTCATGTTAATCATTTGAGTATTAATTTCTTAAATGTGTTAACTGCTATGTAAATTGAATGTTTAAGACCTGAAGGGGAGGATTCCAGGAGCAGGCCATTTACCTGGTGGTGGTTGAATATTGCAGTGGTGGGTTTCCTTCCAAACGAAGGAAGAAAGATGGAGGGGCATAAAGATTTTTTTTTAACCTCTGACGTGACTTAAAATGTTTGCTTCTGAAAATGGGCATCAGCATTTTGATTGTTAGCCCTCATCTCATGGTCTAGAGAATCTGTGCTTTTTGCTCCTAAAGAGTTTTTTGCCAATTGCAATATGATGCACAAGGATTATGCTGGTGTGACATTTCTTATTACAGACTGAGGCAGTGATTTGGTTTTTAAATTTTGGAATCATGAGAATGTGAACCAAATTCAAATTTCTTTTGTTATCTCTATATGGGCAGTGTGTGATAATTCCATGCTTCAGACTTTGCCAGTGGAGGTCAAGAAGAGCACCTCCCTCACTTTGCTTCTTTTAGCTCTTGTTTCTTGTCTTCCCTGTTTGCCCTTTCTCTGAAGCGTTGGATATTGGCCATGGCTAGAGGTGGGAGTTTAAAGTTTGGCTAGGTTATACAGGTGCTCTTCATGGTACTTTTAGGAACGTCTCATGTGCCTGGCTAGTGTTTTTACTTGTGAACTAATCCCTATTTTGGGAATTAGGAAGGGTTGCCCATTCCCTTCTCCCACTCAGATTAGAAAATACCATTGTTGTACAATCTACCCTTTTAAGATGGGGCCCAGTCTCTTTCCTAGGATTATCTGACAAATTCCCTACAATTACAGTTGCAAGGACTGGTAGTGTCTTTGTTGTACCAGGTCTTCATCTCTGGCACACTGTTGATTTTTTTTTTTTTTTTTTTTTTACTGGGATTTTGTGGCTGTGACATCTGAGAGGGTGTAAAGCGGGCATTCGTGTCTACCTTTTGGACAAGTGGTTGCCTCTGAATGCAAGGGACTTGTCTCAGTGGCCTTGGAGCTTCCTTTGCAGTCCTGTATTAACAAAAAAAGGGGAGGAGGGAGGGACTAAGTGGTTAATTATGACAATTTCATAGAATCATAGAAAATTAGAGTTGGAAGGGACCTCAGAAGGTCATCTAATCTAACCCCCTCCTCAAAGCAGGACCATCCCGAACTATGAAACTCTAGCTAAGGCTTTGTCTAGCCAGGTCTTAAAAACCTCCAAGGATGGAGATTCTACATCCTCTCCAGGTAACCTGTTCCAGTGCTTTACTACCCTCCTAATAATAGGGTTTTTCTTTGCGTCTAACCTAAACTTTTCTTGCTGCAATTTGAGACCACTGTTGCTTGTTCTATCATCTGCCACCACTGAAAACAGTCTAGCTCCATCCTTTTTGTAAGCACGCTTCAGGTAGTTGAAGGCTGCTATTAAATTCCCTCCCCCCCCCAGTCTTATAGTTTCATAGGTAGGGGTGAGGACCACTTCCCTGGGAAGTTGGTTCCAGATTTTGGCCACCCTAACTGTAAAATATTGCCTTCTGATCTCTATCCTAAACCTGTTCTCCATCAGCATATTACCATTGTTCCTTGTGACCCCAGGTGGTGCTGGGGAGAAAAGGGCTCTGCCTATTTGCTGTTGATCTCCCCTGATGAGTTCGTAGGCAGCCACCAGGTCTCCCCTCAGCCTCCTCTTGCTGAGGCTGAACAGGTTCATGTCCCTCAGTCTCTCCTCATAGGGCCTGTCGTGCTGCCCCCTCACCAAGCGGGTGGCCCTCCTCTGAACCCTCTCCAGGCTTGCCACATCCCTTTTGAAGTGCGACGCCCAGTACTGGACGCAGTACTCCAACTGCAGCCTGACCAAAGTCGCATAGAGGGGGAGTATCACCTCTCTGGACCAGCTTGAGATGCATCTTTGGATGTATGACAAGGTATGCCTGGCCTTGCTGGCTGCAGTCTGGCATTGGCAGCTCATGTTCTTCTTGGAGCCAATAATGACTCCAAGATCCCGTTCCGCCTCTGTGCTTTCAAAAGGGGAACTCCCCAGCCTGTATGTATACTGTGAATTCCTTCTCCTAAGGTGTAGCACCCTGCATTTATCTATGTGGAACCCCATCCTATTCTCATCTGCCCACTTCTGTAGTGTGTCTAAATCCATTTGCAGCCTCTCTCTCCCTTCAAGTGTGTCTACCTTGCCCCACATCTTAGTGTCATCAGCAAACTTGGACAACGTGCTTTCCACCCCCTCGTCCAAGTCGCTGATGAAGATGTTAAACAGTGCGGGCCCGAGGACCGAGCCCTGGGGTACCCCACTGCTCACATCTCGCCAGGTTGTGTACAACACATCCACCACTACTCTCTGGGTGCGCCCCGTCAGCCATTTTTTTACCCATCCAACTGTGTAGGCATCAGTGCCTTCTCTTCTCCAGACTAAATAAGCCTAGTTCCTCAGCCTCTCCTCAGAAGCCACATGCCCCAGCCCCCTAACCATTTTCATTGCCCTGCACTGGGCTCTCACCAATTTGTCTATACCCCTTCTGTAGTGGGGGACCCAAAACTGGACACAGTGCTGAATAGAGGGAAGGAATCACTTCCCTCAATCTGCTGGCAGTGCCCCCGCTAATGTAGGCCAATATGTTGTTTGCCTTTTTTGCAACAAAGGCACAGTATTATCTCATTCCTCTGATTGTCTACTGTAACCCCCAGGTCCTTCTCTGCACAGCTGCTGCTTAGCCAGTCAGTCCCCAGCCTGTACTGGTGCATGGAATTGTTTGATCCTAAGTGGAGGACTTTGCAGTTGTCCCTATTGAACTTCATGGTTAAGTACAGACAGTCAAAAAGCCCTAGGTTGAATCGATTCAATATTTACACCTTAGTCTAAGCTGCATAGATTGAACCAATAAGCATGTAAACAGACATTCTCTTTTGATTCTGGAAATACAGCCACATGCCTGCAGTGGCCCAGGCCAGAATCCAAGGGGTACTAGAGAACACCCCTCTGCTTGGCTGGAGCAGATAGCTCGGGCAAGGGTAACCCCTCTCCTTGTGAGGGGGTGGGGAGTGGGGGTTGTGTGGAGGTACAAAGCATCCTGGGATGCTGCAGGACTGTGAGTTGACTTGAATCTGGAGGGGATCTAGGAGAGAAGTTCCAAAAAACTATTCCAGGTTTATCTTAAACTAGTTTGGGCCATTTTGAAAGTATTTTATGTGCACTAAGCTTCTGTTGTGTTACAGATTTGAACTGGTTCTCAGTCACTTATATCAATATATGTGAAATTTCTGTCCCTAGCCCATATTTCTTTAGGTCCAATCCTCCTGTTTGTCAAGGTCTTTCTGAATCCTAGCTCTGCTCCCCCCCACTTTAGTGTCATTCTACAAACTTGCTAAGGGTGCACTCTATCCTACCTTCCAGATCATAGATAAAAGATACTGAACAAAACTGGCCCCAGGACCAACCCCTGGGACACTCAGCTCGAAATTGGCTGCCAACTAGACTTTGATTAATTGATTACTACCCTCTGAGCCTGATGATCCAGCCAGTTTTCTATCCACCTTACTGTCCTTTCATGCAACCTGAACTTCCTTAGCTTGCTTGCAAGAATGTTGTGGGAGACCATATCAAAAGCCTTGCTAAAGTCAATGTATATATCATGTCCACTGCTTTTCCCACATCCACAGAGCGAGTCATGTCATCATAGAAGTCAATCAGATTGGTCAGATATGACTTGCCCTTGATGAATCCATGTTGACCATTCCTAATCGCATTTTTCTCCTCCAAATGTTTAGAAATGGATTCCTTGAGGACCTGCTCCATGAGATTTCCAGGGACTGAGGTGAAGCTGACCGGCCTGTAGTTCCCCAGATCCTTCTTATCTTCCTTAAAGAAGGGCACTGTATTTGCCTTTTCCAATCATCCTGATCCTCTCCTGATTGCCATGAGTCTTCAAAAATAATAGATTGCAAAACTGCAAATTGGCCTACTCCCTCGCCTGTTCTTTTGCCACTGTCAGGTACTTGCCTTCTCCCCAAATTGTGCTTCCAGGTGCAGTAGTCTGGGAGCTGACCTTGCCTGTGAAGACTGAGGTAAAAAGAACACTGAGTACTTCAGCCTTTCCTGCATCATCTGTCACTTGGTTGCCTCCCCCATCCTGTAAGGGTCCCACATTTTCCCTGATCTTCTTCTCTTTGCTGACAATGCTTGTAGAAAACCACCTTCTTACCCTTCACATCCCTTGCCAGCTGTAACTCCAATTCTGCTTTGGTTTTCCTGATTTCATCCCTTCATGCCCAGCCAATACTCTTATACTCCTCCCTACTCATTTGTCCAAGTGTCCACTTCTTGTAAGCTTTCTTTTTGTGATTTAGCTTATTGACAAGTTCCTTGCTAAACCAAGCTGGTCTTCTGCCATACTTGCTGGTCTTCCCGTGCATCATGATGTTTTGAAGTAAAAAACTCCACAGCAGCGCACATGTAGACAATCACCAGGCTGGCTGGGGCCCAAGAGTGCTTCAGTGCAGGGGCTGCCTGCTGGCTTGTTTCCCAGCACCCTTGTACCCCAGCCAGCTCCTCCACAGCACGTTGAGCCGGGAGGAACAGTCCTGGCCTGGCATGCTGACCCCCGGAGCTCAGGGCTGCTCCAACCCATGCTGCGGTCCCTGGGAGCACACAAAGACATGGTGATGTGCATTAAGTACATATGTATATACACCCACTGGTTGCATCTACATGTGCATTTTACTGTGTAGACTAATTAGATCTGCAGAAAAGTATAACCATCTCCACATGCTCTGGTATTAGGATGCAGTAAACTAATTAATGCCACTGTAAGATAGTACTGGAGTAGTGGAGTAGAGTAATTTATGGTAGTGGAGTAATTTACTGTACTGAAATGCACATGTAAACACTGGCCACAGGCATAAATTGCACAGTCACCACAGCCAACTGGGAGCATAGTCCACCCTTGCTCAAATTGCTGCTACTCTAGGCGCACATGTAGACGCTGTGCCCGGGAGCAGTTTACTCCAGGTCAGACAGCTCCGGAGTTTATTGCTTCACATTAATTGCAGTAATTAAATACACCCACTGGTTCCCAATTTAATCTTCTTCCCCCAGGTTCTTGTCCAGCCTATCTTTGCCTTGGTTTCCTGTTCTCTTTCCATGGTCAGATACATTTTTTTTTCTCCAGCATCCTGCTTTTCATCAGACCTGTCATCCCTCCACTTCAGAAGTTTTTCAGTTTTAGTATTCCTGCCCTTCCCACTTTCAGTTTTCCTTTCCACCTTAAAAGTACCAGTCCATAGGCTTCTGTCTTATGGAATTTATATCAGGCAGCTCCCTTCCCCATGCTGCCTGGGCCAAGCTAGGGTAGAGATCCAGTGTTCAGGATAGGCAGGTTACCAATGCAGTCTGGGTCCCAAGTCCTGGTCTAGCTGTTAAATAGGCAAGAACTGCAATAGAAGGGAATAAACCCCTACCCACACCTGGCCTAGAGTATGCTTGAAGCATGTGGAGTATTCAAGGAATTTAATTGGAGCATGTGCAAAAAACAGCCTTCCTTGCCAGGAGCTCATAATATGGGCAGTTTTCCCTGGCTTCCATAAGAGAGACATTTCTGATGGAAAGGCCACTGTACTGGCAAATTGCAGGTTACTTCTCCAAAACAGGGACCCCAGGGCTTGTGAATACACACATACACGCGCACACACAAAATATTATATATTTTGTATATTCACAAGCTCTATTGTGTCGGTGTAAATAATATAATATACATATGTTTTCTTCTGGCCACATTCTTAAAAAGAGCTGAGTTTAAATAAATATTATAAAGTAGGGGTGCTCAACCTGCAGCACACAAATCAGGGAGAGGACAGGTAGCACAGCAGCAGGAAACAGAAAGCAAAGCAGCTGATTGGACAGGTAGCACAGAGTAGAGAACAGCAGAATAGCAGATTAGGGAATCAGAATGGCATTTAGGGAGGGTACAGGGCTAATTTATGGCATACCTGCCAGAAAAATTGTCCCCTCCTTCTTTAAA